TGTAATTGAAGCCAAATGAAGTGGGAAAATTACATGATGATTTTGTGCAGTGCACCGGTTACTGGGCTGAGACCATTAAACTAACTACACTTGAGAACTTGGATTAATCATGGGCAGCTGATAACCGGGTTCGAATCCAGGATCTCAGCGGTGTCAGCTCACAGCTGACCTCTAACCTCTGGGCGAACTGAGCCACCTCTTTTTTTTGTTAAGTTCAATGCAGAACAGACAAGAGCAGTGTGAAGATTAATCATAAAAATGTATCATCACAAATAAAGTGGAAAATAATAAAGGTTAAAAAAATACTCCGAGAAGTAAATAATCCGCAATATTAGTTTTTACGCATTTTGAAAGTTAAAACTGAGAAAGCAAACATAAATGAACGGTTGGGAGAATGGAATTATTTATATCGGGCAAGGAAAAAAAAACTAAACAAAATCTACAAAAATTAAAAATTAACAAAAGACTCCAAGGACTGCGCAAAGCATCTAAGCGCATAACTTCTACTCATTAAAAATGCAAAGATTTACGCTAATTCAAGTCAAACTAATTAAAGACATCTGAGTGTGCATTATTGCAGATATGCATTTTATGAATACTTGTACTGCATTAGTACATCCGTATTGGTTACACGCGGTGGACAGTAGGGGTACACAGTTCTGTTCGACCTCACGGCATGTCATTTGAAACAATGCTGCAAGCTTCCTAAACCACCCTGCCTCTGTCCACCGAGCAGCCGTATAAATGGGCAAACGCCCAGTTAGTCAATCGGCGTGTCACGTGTGGTAGGTGGGGCAAAGTATGGGTAACTCCCACCTCTTCCAAGACGTCTGGCCCAGTGTGGAAGATTAGGCCAAAACAAAAAAAACATTCAGAGGGGCTCAATTCGAGCTCCCTCGGCGGAGGTCCTAGTCACCAGCAGCGGCAATAATCATGAAATTGAAGGGCTGCACCTTTGCCTCTCTTGTCAGGACCACGTTAAACCGGCTTCCGGCTTGTGGAGCATTCATCTCTCTTGAGCACAGGGGGAGCATTAAAATAAAATCACGAGCCGCGATCAAGCAACAGCATCTAGTAATAAAACGATACTACGTTAAGCGCGTGCATTTTTTTGTACCTATTTGGATGCAATTGCTATAAATCAGGAAGAACACTGCGGTGCGCATTCGTAGCGAGCAAAACGTACGTATAATTTTAATATTTACTGCTATTGTTTCTGTGCTCACGCACCGGTACCAAGCGGACACGTGCGACCGACGGTTCGCGATCAAATCACGGGCATGCCTACCGGTGTTTGCAAAAAATAATAAAATAACGGTCTGCCAAAATCTGCCTGCTTAGCTCTCGGCGCACAAGAGCTGACACGAGGGTTTGTCCTGCTGAGAGCCAGCTGTTCGCTCACGGGATCAGGGTTCACTTATCGTCGGTATAATCAAGCTGGTTTATATTAAAAAACATTTTTTTACAAAATTTTGGCCCGATATTCGGTTTCAGTGACACGCTCAATATATATTTTCTTGCAATGGTGGGGGGGGGGGGGGGGGGGTGTCACGTGCGGACGTGGTGACAGAAGCTGGCGGTGCCAGGGATTTGTTTGTTCCCGCAAGCGGTGCGGGCGCCAGTTCCGCTGCTCGTGCCTGCCGATTATAACCGAGGCGGCCTTGTTAATACACAAATACGATTTGGCACTTTTTAATGGTGTCCCCAAAGAGCACAGGTGGGGTGGCGGTGTGGCTGACGGAGAGGGGAGCACTCGTGCCAATGATTCCGGGGAGGATGTGCGGCAGATTGCATTCCGTGGGGTATTCCGTACCGCGGAATATAAATATCGTAGTCATTGGATCTGTAAGGCGGCCGTACGTTTTGGTGGGGTCATTTAAAAAAAAAAATATTGCGATTTTGGTCGTGACAATACGGTATCCGGGAAAGTCGCCACTTTTGGAGATCTGTGAAAGAGAACTTCATAGCTGATCGGATTCCTCCACTCTAAATAAAGCTTCTAATGATAATTCCCAACGCGCTACGGAGACGTGTCTCGTGGAAGACTACCCCGAACTATTACAGACGATAACAAGCTCGTCTTCCGGGAAGGTCATGCATTAACAATGCAGAGCCATCTTCCAGAAGGGGAATATATGATTATGAACACGCAGATTTAGAACGGTGAGAGAAGCCTTCTGGAAGGTGATTCTGACCAACTAGACTGGGGAACACGTCCTCTGGACGACAACGCATCCTCCGGATTTACGGGACGCACTCCCCCAACTTTGCGGCCGTGACGCGACCTGGCGGCGGGATGCCCATCGCTTGTTGCAGCGGTTCACGGCTTGTAGTTTGTGGTGCACGGTCTACGGCCCGTGGTTTGTCTGTGGTTCACACTTCGTGGTTCATGCTTCGTGGTTCCTAGTTCGTGGTTCATGGTTTGTGGTTCATGGTTCGTGGTTGGCTGTTTGCAGTTCACAGTTTGAATCCAGCGGGCTGCCCGTATCAACCACAAATTGCGTGCCGTGCACTCCGCGTCATTTGGAACGAGAAGAAGGCCGTTGCGCGCTGGCGTCACGGTCCAAATTTAGCAAAAAATACGTAAAAATGTTTTGCCGCAAATTACTAACTTGTGATTATAATCAGCAAGATCGCGCCCCTCTAGTGAAGCGACAGTTGACTTCGCTATATCCTTGCCGCTATAAGGCACGAATTCCAAACGTACTAAATTGTCATTGATATTAAACGTTATACTAACGGTACAAATAGAGACAGTCTGCTGCATATCCGCAATCCCAGCCCCACAACTGCAGCAGCAGATTTTATTTTCACGCTCTTTGATTTTTTTCCGTGAATTTTTTTAAAAGCGCCCGGGTGCCGATTGCACAGAAGCGACTGCATGCTGTTTGTCACAAAGCCCCCGCATGGAGGGAGAGAGAAATCAAAAGAGCTGCAAGAAATATAACCCATCGAGTACATTCTTCTCCTGTGCGGAGGAATTCTCACTGATATCGTAATTCGATGGTGGGCCTTTCATGAAGCACGTTGATTAAAATAATTAAGTGTTATTTGTATTTTACTTTCTTAGTTTGGCTCAAAACTCGTCTCATCTGGCGGCTTCTTTAACGACCACAGGTGACAATGTTTATGAAAGAAAACAACTGTTATATTTCGGTTGTGCAGCATATCGATTTTAGGTTATGTAAATTGCTCTTAATTCAGTAGACAAAGATCCCCCGTATCGCCTTAACATAATGTTGGGGCAAGTGCTGCTAGCGAGCATCATTGAAGGCGGGCACGGCACATGAGGGGGTGGGTTGCCAGCACCATGCCCGGCGATGTTTACACACCACACCAGGTACTCATTTGAGGCCGAGTCGACCTAGGGGAGTCCCAAAACCGGTTCAGATAATCGTCACTGGTCTTGGCCGTGAGCGGGAATCAAACTCGGGTCATCAGGTTCGTAGCAATGTGTTAACCGCTACACTACCGCTCCCAACACACGCACGCACACACACAAACACGCACGTCTGATCACACAGCAAGATCCGTTATGAATAAAAACATAATTTCGAGAGCTCGTCATCAACTGCTGACTGCAAGCCTCCCCATTGCATGTTGGTCACGGGGGATGATTGACCATACTTCACTTTGCTTGTAAGTGCATGTTGGTAAAGGGGAGGAGGAGGAGGGGGGATAGTGATCCAGCACCGGACTGGTTCAGACATCATTCGCCATTCATGTTAGCCATGGCCGGCAATTGAATTCAGGAATAAGAGTTTGTCGTGCAGCTCAGAGTACAGCGGGCTAACCACTGCGCCAACATTTCACACCTTGAATAAAATATTTATTTTCGTTCAAAGCATTTGTAATCCAGCAGCATCAACGACTCCAGGTAACCATGTTTATCATTAACATTATTATCGCCGCATTTCGGCCAAGCAGGATATCGATTCTGGGCCACGGAGCCGTCTCGCTTTGGTGAACCATGCACAGCTGATTGCGTGAAAAAATACAATGATTTCCCTTGTTATTATATTTTATTCAATTAACGCACACACATTCCACTTCACGTGACCGATCTCCACAATGTACTAAATCAATTACAAAATATAAAAGGATAATAATCGATAGATTAGAATGACGAATTAGTTGGTTTAAAAACTAAACGGCTTTTTTTTGTGTTCCTCTCCAAGATTAAATGGAAATAAGACCATCAAAAGTAGCGGCGCTTTGAGGCAGGACAGGTCTCGAGATGGAATGACGACCGGCGGTTAGCGGATAACAATGGGTGCGCCCCAAGAGCACGTCTACTGTGGAGATGGAATGATGAATGTCAGCTCGTGCGCAGATGCGAGGTGCAACGTTGCATCGCAGGAGCGCCAGCGGTGGCGACGCCTCGGGGAGGCTTTCATCCAGCAGTGGATTGATTCGTTGTGGCGATAACGACGGTAACGGCGCTCCGTGTGATTTTTGAGCAAACAGCAACAAGCACTTTGCCAAAGTCATCTTTTTCTCATTACACTCAAGCCGTACGTTATTCCAATTGCGGTCAATATTTGCAGATGGTCGGGCAGGTCGCACAGGGGGTTCATTGAACAAAGCCCGTGGCATCACATTGTGCCTACAGCTGGGCCTACAACAGGGGCATATGCTGCTTAATGAATTAAGGACGAGCTACCAAATGTCTGAATAAGTCATGGAGGTGAGAGTTTGATTCCCGGCTACTGCCAACATGAGTGGCGTGGGATATCTGTCGTACCTGCCCTGGGGTCCCCCCCTCCCCCCCTCTTCACCTTCCCCTGCACATGAGCCGATCTAGTCGCTCCATCTCCGTGGTGAAAGTTTTATTTACAATGAGCACGGTTTTACGTAAACAACCATTCTTTGGGTTGGCCATGCCCACGACTGTCGCCTCTTTTAGCCAACATCTATTCCGGCATCAGGATAATGAAATGGGATCGCTGTTGGGGGGTGGGCGGTGGTGGGTGGTAGTGTGAATCATTACAGACACCCACCTCGTAAGGAGTGAGAAGCGGCTTGCAGAACGCAGTGCCCCAGTCGATGGATAATCTGGGGCAGGCAATCTGCACCCACCTGCGGAGACACATTCAGATCCCTCGTCAGTCCGCGCTCACACGCAGGCCCACCGCCGGCAACGCGACAAGAACAGCAGCAACACCACCAGGAGTGTCGCCAACACCACTACCACAACCAGCACCGCCACCACTGCCACCAATAGCACCGTTACCACTACAAGCACTACCACCAGCACCACCACCATCAACTGCACCACCACCGGCACCGCCAGCACCACTACCACCACCAGCACTTCTACCACTACCACCACCACTACTGTTACCAGCACCACCACCATCAGCACCACCATCAGCACCACCACCTACACGCTATCACACACATGCCGAGTGCAGTGGCGCAAGACACAAACGGGCAAATACCAAACGATGCAGCCAAGTGCTTTACATTATTTTGATTCTGCCTGTTCACCCAGGAAAGCCTCGCCGATTCTCAAGGCTCTTTTTCGGGAGGGTACTGCCAGGTTTTGACAGTAGGCGGCCGATGTTGCTATGCGTACAGCGATCCAAATGGAGTGATTTTCAAGTAATTTTGCAACCTTTGGGAAGTTTTGGTCAATACTATTTAAGTACAAACTCCACACGGACCGGTGCCTGAGTCAGGAATCGAACCCAGGGGCCTTGTTGCTGTGAAGCGCACCACCGCCACGTCTCGCACGTGACATTAACAAAGAATTAAAGACGCAGAGAGGACCTTGTCACAAATCAATGCGCCTGGCGATGCTTATCGCCGACGCTTATCGCTGGGACGTTCACCTCGGAAGCACGGAGACAAAATCTAGCGGTAAAACTCCTCTTCTACATGGACCTTTAGCCAATCCAAAGCTGGGTGAGGGCTCCCCCCAGTCTGGCACCACCCATGCCGTGCGGTTCCTGGGCCGCGGTTATTTTATCATACCTCAAACAGTTGGTCAGTGCGGACTGGTTAACACGTGGAGCATATAGACATTGGGGTAGCGTAGAGCATTGAAACTTTGGGGTAGAATTGGGGTAGCGTATAGCATTGGGCTAACATATAGACATTGGGGTGGAGCACATAAGTTCACCACAGCTAAGCATTCTGCTGCACTTTAAACTCTGATGCCCAGAGCATAGCCCCGCCGCCCACGAGTGTACAGGTTATGTTGAACTTCTTTCGCACAGTACGTAGCCAAACGTGCTAATCGGAGAGGGGCCTCATCCGGCAGTGTGTCGACAAAACAACATGGGGCGCACACGTGTACAGAACTTGCGCATGAATATTAATACAGGGGAACTATTTTATTTCATTAATATTAATACACGTTTATATTAATATACACGGGATCAAATTTTTCTTTACATAATATTAACACACGGGAACAATTAAAAAAAAAATTTATATTAATACACGTGCATATTAATACCCGGGAGCAATTTCTGAAAAAAACGAGGGGCGGTGTTGATGAAATGTCTCGCGCTGCGACTGGGCGGGCAGCGACTAGCAACGCTTGCGTGGTTTTCACTTTCGGAAAAACACCTACCGTGGCGTGGATGCGTGCGTGGTGCGTGTGGTTTTTTGCGCCCTCCCCCCCCCCTATTAAATCAGCACAGCGCCCTGATTAAAATATGTTTTAACGCTCTGCCCAAAATGGTTCAATCAAACTCAATGGCAACGGTCTGGGTAAAAAAAAAAAGAACTATTACAGGCTTGGCTGATATTTCACAACAAACCAACGTTAGAAATATAAATTAGGTACCGCGCTCCGAACCCCGTGAGAAAAACACAAACATTGATAGTTTTTATAAGAAGAAAAATAAACAGTTGAAAATGGTCAATTTGATTGGCACTCTGACAAGAGTCTGCAGGACAGATTCAACGATGCGGTGAGTCGTCGTTTGAAAAGCTCGTCGCCAAAGCTCGCATTGCACGTGCGACGACGGTCAATCGACATCTTTCGACACCGCGCCAAAACGTCGGCCAAATCTAATCGCGGCGTCGAACCGACCGCGACGTTTCGGCGTGTGAGCCAGGTGGCGGGCGAGTGAATCGTTCCACCATCTTTATACTGGCAAAAAAAGTCCCTTAGATATAACCGCTCAAACTCGAGCTATTTATGATTTTAAATTTGCATTGTACTTGTGCCGTTCGCCTTTTGCCGTTATTGTCAGGTCCAACACTGGTGATGAGACAAGGCCATGATGGAGGCTGTCCCTGGTGTCGGCCAATTTGATTCAAGGACAATGCATACATTATCAAATCATTTTGACTTGCCTCGTTTTACCCCAATAATGTGCGTGGTTAACGCAGACTCTATGGCTTGTGATGGGGTGTCTATTTGGCGTTTGAACATCTGAACACCTCCTGTATTCTTGCTGGAGAGGGTAAATCCTTTTCGTTTGCCATCAAGTATGAAGGCCAGTTGAACAAAGCGCGGTGGGATTACCAAAATAAAATGAAAAGAGACTGGACCCGAATCCTGGTGGGGGCTCCGCTCAGTCCATCATCATTCCTGCGGTTATAAAATAACTACCGCCCCGTCTGGGGCAAGTCAACGGTCATTTGTAAATATTAAACATGCTTGTAGCGAATTTTCACAACTGGCACAGGGCGGAAACCACATCTGACCTCATAACGTTCTTATTACGACTAATTTTACACCATTACACCTATTAGCACGATTGGCTACGTCCGTTGCGAAAGAAGTTGAACATAGTACAAAACGTGTCGCACTTACACTATTTTTGGCAACAAATTGGATATTCTTTGTGTGACGCTCTCAAGTTGAGAATCGTGACCACGGCCTCCGGTTGAGGATGAGAGAGCACCCACAAAACTCTTTAAGGGTTATCTTGCCATCTCAGGGAGAAGGAGCAAACAAGGGCAGCGCTAATAGATCTGCCTGCCTGCCTTGACTTGCCTGCCGAGCGCGATGGGATTGGGGAAGCTACAGCAGTCTGGCTCCGACGAGCTGAGCGCCACTGTCAAGCGATACACTTCATCATCCCACATCCGCCAAAACCCTTTTACCGTGGCTCAACCGTTATTACTTTACGGCACAACACGGCCAACACCGCCGCGCTTGCTCTCTCACAGTTCAAAGGTCACTCGCGATCCTGGGGATGCTTCCATCGCCGTGGCAGCCAGGGCCCGTGGGAGGCCCGACTGCCCCTCCTCTCACCAGATCACTGAGACGCTCCTCTGCATAATGGCGAGCGTGCGCATGAATTTTTCAGACAAACAGCGCGGCGACTAGAAGGTGCCGCTTCGCCGTCGGGAGGTTGTAGGTCAGGGGTCGGGCTCGGCCCAACGCCCCCACCAGAGTCGATAAACCTGGTACCACTTCGTGGGGAAGTCGAAGGAGGCTGTCTGATGGAACTACTCTCCTCGGCCGCAGGGAATGTGAATTTTCACCCAACGACTCAGTCCTCTAAACAGGAGACGATTGCCATCCCTTGCCTATTTGAATGATGAACAACTTAGACCTTTTTGGCTTTTAATTAATCAAATTTAAATGTTTCCCAACTTGTCTTTGTCATTTTTGTTTGTTTTTCAAGATGAGCATCCTCTTTTGACGTACACACCAGTGAGTCCCGTTTCCACGAAATGTCGCCCATCGCGCAGTTTCCTCTTTGTGTGTACATATGTTAAACTTCTTTCACACCGTACGTAGCCAACCGTGCTCAGCAGCGGTGCGGGTGAAGGACAACAATCTTAACATCAAACGCCGTTCTGAAGAAATAAGTTTTCAATCCAGATTTAAAAGTGCATAGCTCCAGTGGATTCCTCATATCGGAAGGAAGAGTGTTCTAGACGGCCACAAAAGAGCATCAAAAGTATGCAATGCGGTGACCGTCTTTGTTCGACGGCTAGACAAAACACCGCCGCTGCTGCGAGGATGACTGGATTTCGCGTGGTTGATGCTCCTTGACCGAGATCAGCAAGGCATCGCGGTTCATTTGAGGGGCCATGGTGCCGTCAATAAAGTGTCGGGTTCTCGTCGACGAACGTGCCGAGCGGAGCGTACGACATGGAGCGACGCGGGGTGGTGCGGGGCACTCTTACGCGTCCACGTCCTGGAAGAGGCGCAGCTTGCAGGGGAAGATTTCCGAGAGGAGGAGCCGCACACACTTCCGTCCGGCCCTCTGCAGGCTGTCCTCCACGTGCTGCGCGACATCAACGATGGACAACACAGAGCGACGCAGGTGTCACACAGCGGGTTGCCGAACGTTATTATTCTAAGGATCTGTTTTAAAAGGCCTGGCGTTTTGGGACACCACCCCACTAACCCACCTGCCCCTGACCACAGCTATCTGATGTGTTTTTTGGGGTTGTACTGCATGTTGTTCGGCTCTCACCTGGTTCAGGCTCTCACCTGGTTCAGCCTCTCACCTGGTTCAAGCTCTCACCTGGTTCAGTCTCTCACCTGGTTCAGTCTCTCACCTGGTTCAGGCTCTCACCTGGTTCAGCCTCTCACCTGGTTCAGTCTCTCACCTGGTTCAGGCTCTCACCTGGTTCAGTCTCTCACCTGGTTCAGGCTCTCATCTGGTTCAGCCCTCACCTGGTTCAGGCTCTCACTAGGTTCAGACTGGCGTATGTCTTCGGGCTCTCGATGGAACATCGCGTCCAATTGGCGAAATATTCGCACATCATGAATTGTGCTAATTATTATAACAACCCAAAAAACACATCATCGGAAAACTGTACAGCCCAGCTTGGGGAGGAAGAAAAAAACCCTACGCATCGGTACGTATTTGACACGCTCAAGGGCGAGGTTTACCATGCGATACATCACCCACACCGCGGTAGAAATTCAATACCAATCGCGAGAGCGAGACTCGAACGCTGGCGAACGTCGTGGAAGCAGGGAGCGTTAACCACTGCCACGCGAAGGCTCGCCGAGCGACACTCCTGGATGTTGCGTGCCGCTGCCCACGAACTAACGAATGAAGGAATTAAACGATTTAATTACAGTGACATGAGATGTCACTGGGTGGAGTGGTTCGGGCACTGCACTGTGAAACCGGTGATCCGAGTTTGATTTGCGGCCGCGGTTAACATTGTTGGAACGTGATATCCTAACCGGTCACTAAACCCGAACTGACGGGCACTTCCGCTAAGCACGGTTGGCTACGTACGGTGGGACAGAAGTTGAACGTACATACATCCGTACATGTTGAAATATGGCCAAAAACCCTGACGACACACACAGTACTAGAGCACCTTCATCCAGCAGTGGGATCGACAGTAGGCAATTAGAGAGGCAACTACGGCACACTGTCACACTTAGGGTGCAACGACTGGGCAGCCTATCCCAAAGATCATCATTGACCGAGGCCAGTAATGGCTAAGTAATTTTTTACTTTTCAGCACTTAATGTAGTGTTTCAATATGTTTTCTCTCTGTTGCTCAAACACAAACAGTTCAAGGTGGGAGAATGGGTAGGGGTAGGGGTCCAACGTTTACAAATACCGAAGGTGAAATAAATTAATTCTGTTCGTAACAAAAAAAAAAATCCACAAGGTCAATAAAAAGCACCCACGTGAACTAATGAAATGCGCACAGGCATACGCTGCTGGACAACGAACGCGAACGTGGCTTTGGAGGATAATAAACACTTTCGCGAAGGGTGGGCCACATGCAATCGTTGGGAAAACAACGAGAATTCAGACGCGCCACTAGGCGGGCTGGCGAGGATGCATGCGCGGGGGGAGAACAGCGGTGGGAGGGGGGGGGGCACGGGGCATCTGCAATCGTTTTGACCACCTCGCTCGGTACACAGGAGGTCGCGCGGGTTCGACTCCGACCCTGATGCCTGTCGTATATTTCCTCCCCGTCCGTGGTCGCGTGGATTTTTCTCCGGCTCTTCCGGTATTTTCTCTCCGCATTTAGAATCAAGCGTGCGCTTAAGAGTATTTGGCTGCTGTGAATGTCCACGTGATAAGCCACTTCGTTCAGTAACCATTTGTGGACAGGTCGCTTCTGAAAACGAGCTACCCAGCTCAGTGGGCCTTACCGGATAAAAAGGGGAGGGGGGGGGATGAAGGTGATTAATAATTGTTAAATTATTATTTTAAATATAATAACATTTAAAAATAAAACACACCCTGACGCTCGTCCGTTGCCTTATTCGGACACGTCATTATTAAACCGGGCGGGGGGGAGATTTGAGAGATGTTCATGAGCCGAGATAAAACTGAATGGTCTTTCCCGAGGCCGGCTCTCTCTCTCTCTGTTGTGCAGCCGTTCCAAAGGAGTGTAGAAAGACAGAAGTGAGTAGGTATTCGTCATCACTCCGCAGCGCTCTGGGCGGTGAGAGGGGGGGGGGCAACACCAAACGGTACTTTAAAGGCGGCCGATCGGCTCCACGCAATTTGCACGAGGTTCGTATTCTCGCCACGCTTTACGTACGCCTAAACCCTCGACGCTTTGATATCTTCACCGGCAAATTGCTTCTGATACACACCGTTTAACGTTGTTCGTGTACGACTCTCGCTTAGCTTTGTCGTCTGTGCCGTTATCAACCAATCGCCCCAAACGACTTCGCGATGCGGGGAATTTAAAGTTCAGGTCTGATTTGACGTTGGTTTGACGCTGAATTGACGATGATTTATCGTCTGAAATACAATTTAGTTTCGCCACGTGATTGCTTTTGCACCGATTGCTATTCACCTTCATTGCTTCGCTCTGTTTTAGTTGTTTTTGCTTTTGAGTCATTTCGTTGGAACACAGGTTCGCGCTCTCGCATACGAGACCCTCCTCCTGGGTCTTTTGAGTTCTCATCCTGGTAAGAATGTAAGAAAGCTTGATGTACATTTCACTGCACTGCCCAGCTCATTCATCAAGATGGCCATCACGGGGCATCGTTAAATGCTTCACGTTGACCTCTGCGGTGCAAAGTTCTAATGCGGTTCAAGCTAGCGAAGAAAGAAAGGAGAGAAAAAATAATCATAATAATCTGCCTCTCTCTCTGTTCTCGCTTTCATTTGTCACCAACAACAACAAAAAAATCTAGGCGGTATCTTGCGAGGAGACATAAGCTGGGAACAAATACAGTCTGGCCCAGCAAGCACCAGCATAGAGAGAGGAAGAAGAGAGAGAGATGGGCGGGGGAGGGAGGGGTAAAGACGCCCCCCGCTCCCCCACAAGCACCTCTTTCATCTAACACTGCCGGCAGGTGACAGCCCAACAGGCTGCAGGCTCCCCAGGGCACTCCGTAAAGAATGAGAGGAATAAAGTCTCCAGCAAGCGCGCCGAAAAGGAACGGCATAATTACCAGTTGCAGCGCAGGCACCCACCGGCCAGGGCTCTCCAGTGCGGCCGACCTCCGCGAGCTTTATAATAAAAATAAATAAATTTGGTGGGGGGAGGCGGGGTGGGGGGGCTCTCGCAGTAACAGAAATTAAACTGAGAACCGGCTTTCATCTCCAATCGCTCAGACGACAAAGCGGCTTCTGTCCCACCCCCCCCCCCCCCCCCCCCATTTTTTCTTCCTTTCTGCAATTCCATTTTTGTAAGCCAATGCGCTTGCCGCTCGCGCTGACAATCGCGAGAAAACGGCCAACGCCGCAGCCGCCGCATCGGCTCCCCAATTATTTTGCGCGAGAAAGGGAAGAGGGGCTCAGAGGTTGTGGTTATCGCACGGTGACCTTGAGAAGTCTGACACACTGTCCGCCTCAAGGTTAGTTGGGCCCCGTGCGGATGGGTTCTCCGTCTGACCTCGCATCACCATCACCATCATCATCATCCGTGGAGTGCGTTCTTCCAAACATTGGAGACATCAACATTCCGGGCAGAAGACATTGCAACTGTTGAAGCAGCTTGTACGAAACCCCCCCTCCTCCCCCCCCCCCAATATTTATGAGATTGAAATTCCAAACGAATACGAATATAATACCTTACCGACAGGTACATCTTGTGTCGAGAACAATTAATTAAGGAGAAATTTAACAGCTTTTTGTTTTTTACCTCCCACCATACCTGCCAGCAAGAGACGCATGGTTTTTGACACTGCTTGTGAAGTAATATTTCACAAGAACTGGGGAACTCTATGTCCTATTCCGTCACATGTCCTCAAATTGTTAATTTAAACAAAACACAGAGGGTGCCTAAACTGGCACCCTCTGCGGGTTTCGACTTAGTGATTCGATGGTCTCAGCCGGGTCACCGGTGACCATAGGGGAGAGGGGGGGGGAGGGTAAAAAACTATCACGTTAAATTATTATTTTCACTTAATTTGGTAAATTCCAGCTCTGGGAATTGTTTGACTTCCACGCGATGAACATGTATCTGTAGGTGGGCACATGGGAAAGAGGTCACTTGTATGGATCTCAGAAGGAGGTCTGTGACGTATCCTACCGCGGGCCATTTCTTTAACAAGTGGTGGTGCCGCTGCTGCACTGCGATGCACTGCAATGATTCCGTAGAGACGTTCCTTCTCAGATATGACGTGACCGGTGACAGCACAATTGCAATAACATTGGGAACGAGATAAGGAAAACAAACTAAAAATAACACAAAAAATAACGAGTGCGGAGAAGGGCCATAAGTCGGTCATTATTTTCAGGGCCGCTGCCGCGGTGTAATCGTTACCGCACTTGGAATCGCAATCCAGAGGTTGCCGGTTTGGCCCGATCTCCCGGTGTGGCGGTTAAATAACTAGATACAGATTTTATTTATTTTAGCAGGAAGGACCCCATGAGCTGATAGTCTGTATTTCATAGGCGCCCTGCAGTTGATAACAATGGTGGAAGTTTCTTAAATCTCCTCTGCCCTGCCTCCAGCCGTCCCCCCACCCCCCACTCTCCCCATTGCCTCTATCCATCCAGCAGTTGCTGACCTGCCCCTACTAGACATCGATGAGAAAGAGCTTTATAGCTCATCGGATTCCGTATTCAGTCCAAATAAAGATTCTGATTCTGCAGCCAGTCGATCGGCAGGATGCATGTGGTGTGTGGGCTGGGGGGGCGGGGTACTTTCACATCTTCCAACACTTGTGACCAGCATGCAAGAGCAGGCCCAAAATACTCTGCATTGGAGACTCTTCCGCCAGCAGCGGGGTGAGCAACGCTATTGCAGGGCTGCACCTTTACCTATTATTATGAGACCGCGCCTCGACCCGTGTGACCCCACACACTCCACACGGAAGCGCCCCCCCCACCCACCCCTCCCCAATGCCGGTGTCACATCTGGTCCTCTTAAGCCCCTCTCACTGCACCCGACACAATTCAACGTAGAGCGGTCAGGGCGTCGGATTGATGAACTGATGATCCGGCACCTGCCATTAGCACGGTTGGCTACGGACGGTGCCAAAGGACACTCAACATACGTACGTACGTACACATACTCAGCGATTCACTCCAGCGTACTAGTTCACCGGGCCAGCCGGTCACCTCCTCATCTCTCGCCGGTTCACTTGACCTGCATGATTTTGGGCGAGCCCTGCCGGCCGAGCGTGCCGAGGATGAGTCCCCACGTCTTCGCCTTGGCGGCCTCAGCGATGGCGTCCTTCCTCGCCGCCCTCATTGCCCCGTGGTCATACTCCTCGCGCGTGAACACCTTGCTGTACGGATCGTACCTGCACAGTCACGATCGACAAATGGCAGACAGGCAGATACAGGGTTAATCCACTGCCCTATTGCTCTTCCATTGCCACTACCATGGTTACTTTGCCAGTAAATGTCACTCGTTGATTCCTCCGCCCATGTTCGCTGCATTTGTTCGGTCGAACAGACTGACTTTCACCTCCATCAATGCCGTGTTCGACCACCACCATCACACTGCAGGTCACAACACCACACTCACTCACTCATTCACTCACCCACTCACCACACTGCAAATCAAACACTTCTCTTTCTGCCTCTTCCCTTGCATCACTCCACTTTGGAATTCCATCCCATCGTCTCTGCTTCGCGAGGTTCGCAGCGCAGCGCGCTAACCACTACACCACAACCATCGCGTTCCCCCCCGCCAACGCATTCCCCCCCGGCCCCCGTCCCCCCCCCTTACCCACTGCCAGATCCCAGAGCTGCTGCGCGGGAGACGCGCGGCGACCTCCTGACCTCCTGTATCTCCCCTGACAGTCTCCACCACCAGCTGGCCTTAGGTCTCCTCTTCCCCAAGGTCGGCGGGGTTCGTGGAGATGCGATGACATCGGGCGCGTTCAGGGCGAATGGGTGGGAGGGCTAACTTCTGGCCCATGGACCACACAAGGTCCCAGGGCTGACGTTCGCACGCTGCGTGAGCTACGATACAATTACAATACAATGTGGATTTATATAGCGGAGTCTAAATGTGCTCACATCTCGGGACGCTGTACACAAACAATGGGATACGTTTCGTTTGTATACAGTGCCGGTTTCAAGAAGACAAAAAAAAGTCTCCCACTTGGACTTGAGTCGACGACAGTTCTCTGCATTTGAGCAAATGGGTCTCTGTGCTCATTGATAGGCCTAAAACAGTGGATTCATGAAGCGGAATCTGAATGCAATTATACGTCAAGTACGCCGTACAGAAAAAGCAGGGGGGCATTCATTTTTTCTAGATTTGAAGTTTTCGTGACTGCAAGGGTCCATACTCTTGGGTTTTTTCGGTAAAGTCACGTAGGTAAAAAAATTAGAATTAATAACGACGTTTCAGAGGCTTGTGTTGCCTCCGAAAAACCAAAGAGTAAGGCATTCATTTTATTCACAGCCACGAGAGAGGAGAAAAGGTGCGTAGCCTGGAATTGAACAGGGGCAGGGAGCTGACAGCACAGACTGACTGGTGCAAGAGTGCACCAGACTATGAGGGTAGCGAATTGGGGGGGGGGTTTGTTTTCTCTTCAGTGTCAATGTTCACATTTGGAAAACGTGGACCGCGACGCCGGCAAACAATGGCGCGCCACTCTCGTGAATTACGTCACGCGGGTCATTTAAAACCAATTCTAAAAAGAGCCCAGCAGTACAGAGGAGCGAGCACTAATAAAGGGACGGGGAGGGGGTGAAGACGACAGAAATTGCGAGGGGCTGAAGCCCGAAAACGCGGCGCTCACACGGGTCAGGGGTAAAGGGAGAGGGATGGGCTCGCTCACCATGCTACCGTAGCGACTGCGCGATAAAGGTTCGGGGAAGGGGGGGTGCGTGAGGTCACGGGGTCATCAACATCCACTGTTAAGCGAACAGCGCGTCGTATGTTTGACGGGTTAACCGCGAGACTCGAACCGTGAACCCGCGGAGCAAAGCGGCCCTTCCAAAGCGGCACAAGCACAAGCGCTCCGCTCGTTTCAGTGCTCCCGAGTTCAAAGGTACCTTTTACGTCCGCAAGCCGGATCAAGCAAGTGGAGCGCTCCAAGGCAAATCGCTTGCTCCGCTCTCTGGAGGTTTGTCACGCACCGCTAGGCGCTAACCCCAAGCGCCGCGGACCTTGAATGCCAACTCAACACCTAACCTTAACGGGTTGACGCGACGGCAGTTTATCACTGGGTCCCAGAGCTTATTTGCAACGGAGGCTAAGAAACCACGGTCTTGTGCGTGTACGTGCGCAACCACCAAAAAACATCGGCCGGGTAACTCGTTACGCTCGCCCATTACTCCGCAAGGGTCGAGCATCTGAACCAAAGGTGACCTTCCAAGGTCAGAATTGACGATTCATTACAGCCTCGATACGTAACATCTGTGTGTGTGTGGGAGTGTTTATAGTGCAGTGGTTCGCGCACTGTGCTACTAACCCGGCGACCCGAGTTCGATTTCCGCTCACGGCCAACACCAGTGACGAATATCTGAACCGATCCCGGGCCTCCCCGAGGTCTACTCAGCCTCAAATGAGTATCTGGTGCGGTGTGTAAACATCGCCACTGGGGAGACAAAGGTGGTCGGGCGTGGTGCTGGCCACGCACCCACTCGTGCGCCGTGCCGGCCTTCATAGGTGCTTGCTAAATGCACTTGCCCCAAGTCTGCTAAGGCTATACGGGGGACATTTGTCTTCATATATAGCACACTAGGCTAAGAACCCAGAGACCCGAGTTTGATTCCTGCTCACGGTAAACATCGGTGATGAATATTTGAGCTGGTCCTGCCCTTCCCCTAGGTCGACTCAGCCCTAAATACCTGGTGCAGTGTGTGAACATCGGAGACAAAGGCGGTCTGGCGTGGTTCTGGCCACGCATCTTGCTGTGCTAAAATGTTCCAATGTAAGTAGTGGCATGTGTCATATAATTTATTATGGAAATATAGCCTCTGACGACGTACCTGTCCACCCATACTGATTACCCGTATTCTTGTACAGGGAAATTGAGTTCAGGCCCCGAGAGTGTACAGCAGTTTTAATACGGGCAACAACATCATTGTCTATTTGTTTGTCTTTCTCCCTTGTGATGGGACTTTGTAGGATGAACGTTAAGATTTAAAAGGGGCACGGGGTGACCAATAAGGTCTGAATTGGTCTCTAATAAGGTAGGGCACTGATAAGGGGTTGACAGGTATGTGACGATGATGACGACGATAATAAACTAGGTGTTTAATGATTCACCATTCTCACCCACCTCCAACCTGCTGTCACAATTAATGAACTGCTTCAATTTAGGGTCACGATTCGATGCAATAATCGAATATTTACCTATCAAAAAGATTATCCAATGTCGCTGTGGCTTTAAAATGCTAAAATACATGTTATTATAATATATTTTGAGGCAGTGTTACGGACACATGTGTTGACCATCTTTGTTATTATTTGGCCACCACTGCCACCACAGCAGCAGTAGTAGGAGCAGCATCACTAAAACACGTTCCATCGGAGTGGGCAGGTAGGAACTTGGTTGGACAGCGCATTTGTGCGATCCGTGTCACGCGGCGCAAGCTGCGTGGGGCGGCGCGTCACGTGGTGCTGAGCCCGCCCGAAGCGCTCTATGAAATACAAATCGAGGGCGTGGCTATGCACGACAGACAGACAAATAATCGCTGGTGGGCAGTGTGGAACTGTTGTTCCTACCTGTGTAATTGACTTGCGTAACATTGGGGGTGAATGCTATAGCGCCTCTGGTGGCTGAAAGTCACATTAACCGGTAACAGGAAGTCCTCATTTCACGCGGTAGTAGATGCACTCCCGGAAAGTGTAGCGTTAAGTGAAATCACTTCAGCGAAAAACAATACCCCCCCATGAAAAATGTAGTAACGATAACGTTTGGTAAGACACAATGCACCACTACGCACACCACGCAGTAAGATGGCGGGACAAACAACTGCCGCCGCATTACCGTATCATTCCCCATACGCTGTCTCCCCGACAGACCTGGTCTTCACCTGAGGACGGCTGCTTGCGTTGTGGCCGAAACGTCGTGAGAATTATTTTATTATGTTTAATTTTTTTTTATTTCCCTTCTACGTGACTTTACCGAAAGAACCAAGAAGATGATTCCCCCATACTGCATCAGACCGCTCAGAAACTGCGTTATAGCGGCACGCGTTTCCGCGTTATAACAGGCGGCGCGTTCTGCGTTATAACGGGACGCATTTGGCGTTGCGCGAAGTGTTACCTGATGAAAGAATCGCGTTGCTGTGAAAGCGCCTAATAGCATGCACAGCACATGGTAGGCGAGGACTTTAAAACGACCGATTCTTACGCACGTGATGCGTGTATTGTAAGCTCAACAGAGGGTAGCATGGTTATCTTTAGATCTCTGCTCGCCACTAAAACGTTACGTTCAGATGTGTACAGTGCCCATGGCAGGCAGAATTGGGAGTGCGCATTGATCCATCGATTGACGTCTCCTGAGCTTACAATGCCACCGTTGATACCCACGGGTAAGAAATTACGTCCATTTCGTAGACGTATCTAACGCATTCGTGTGACCCTCGCAGCCAGTAGGGGCTGCTACATTCACCACAATGTAATTAAATTTTTGTTATCCAATCTGGAATCGAATCGTGATCCTGAGTTTGTAAAAAATATTTAATCAACGGATCACCAGCAGTGGGATGTGGGGCTTACAGAATTAACATACCTCGATTTATGTCATGTTACTAACAATCAACACAATTTAAAATGGATGCATATTTTAGTGAATCGGAAGCATTGTTCGATTGTTGTTACCAGAGTTCTCCTTAAGTTTAACTTTTAACTTAACTAACGAGCGGCTTGATGTTTCGCAAACGGAAAATGCGAAATAATAATCAAACTCGATTTCGACTGAAGATTTTATCACAATAATCATCATCGCCACCACCACCATCATCATCCATCACCCTCTCTGAGGTCATGGGGGCCTAATTAAGCGGTAACAACAAACAGGGTTTTTACCGCTCGCTCGCTCGCTCGCTCTCTCTTGTTCGTTCACTCTTTCTCAAACACGCCTTGTGTACATCTGCCCGGACAGACCCTCGCGAGTCCGTGCACACAACTAGCGGACCCCCTCCCCATCCCAGCTCGATGCGCTGCGTATGCAAATCCAACGACGTAATTAGACACACCGAGGCCCATACCCCGGCGCGTGATCTATCGAAACGGTTACCCGCCGCATTCCTGCTGAAACACACAAATTCAAGCTGCGCGGCGGCGGCGGCGGCGGCGCACGTGGGCACGCGCGCGAGCCAGCCCCACGTC